CAATGCTGGTGATTGCTTGAATAGAACCAAAAACATATATACTCTGCTTCGGATGGTTTCACCTACAAAATTACGAAATTTGTTAATACGTACAAATACACATCAATTGTGAAAGAAGCAAAATCATGTTGTCATTGAACTAGCTAAGAACATCTTCTGGATTCTAGACTTATGCATCTTGCTACAAGGAAATAAATGACAAGTAATATTGTGACTAATATTTCAGCTACTAACAAAGGCAGTGAACAGTTTCGACATGTTTGGAGACAACATTCACTTGTTTAACTTTACGACCAGTCATCTATGAGAAAGCATGAATTTATCAAGCAAGGTAAAAACTAAATAACTGTAGCAAATAAAAACACATGAATGTGGTAGAAACTAGTATACTCACATTTATAGCAGAAGTGGAAGTCACCAACCAAGAGCAATATTAGTTGCTAGTCTATTACGGAACAGGTCCATGTCTTTATCACTAGCCTCCGAGGTTGACACATCTGATGCATTCGGAGGGATGGCATACCGTTGATACCTTGAAGGGATAGTTGGGACATAGTTGGGATCTCTGTCGACTCGAAGAAAGTGAAGATCACCCTTATCATGATATCGAACGTAGTTGTGAAGGGTCATAGTGGCAGCCACTATCATCTTTTGAGTTTCAACTGAATAATTGGGCATCTTTAGTAGAATCTGCCACTTCATTTTCCACACACCAAATGCTCTCTCGATCACATTACGCTTGGATGAGTGTATCTTGTTAAATTTCTCCTTAGGTGTTCTTGGCGCCACACCTCGTTGAAAATCAGGCACGTGGTACCTTTCTCCCTTGTAAGATGCGAGATATCCAGGTCTATTAGGATAGCCCGCGTCCACAAGATAGTACTTACCTACAAACAACAAGCAGATTGCATGTAAGGCCTATGATTTGTTTACAGAATTTAAATAAAAGAAATTATTATAGGAACTACTAACCCTTTGGAGGATGAGGGAAGGTATCTTTGTCAGCTTCAATTGCATGATACAAGACACTGGTATCATGCATAGAGCCGGGTTGACCAACTGAAGTGTACATGAAATGCATGTCAAAATCACATATTGCCAGAACATTCTGTGTTGTTGATCCTGACCTTCCAATGTATCTAACTTGGTCGCCAGCAGGAATGGTAGCTCTGACGTGAGTACCATCTAGTGCGCCGATGCAGTCCTTAAGATGTGGATAAGCCCTTCTATCCTTTTGAATCCTTGGGTGCACACTACTAAAGTTTGGGTCCTTAGGTTTCAGGTAATCTGCTGCCATCTTAACCACACAGAGTAAAACCTCATGAAACTTCCGGTGGACTGTATCTCCTGAGTGCTTGAAACGATTTTGTGTTCTCCTATTAGACTCGCAACCCCCTAATGTCCACAAGAACATTGCAAGCGCTTCATAACTGCTTACGAAACAGGTTGATTTGAAGCCATACTTTTTGACCAACAAGTCATGCAATTGAAAGAAGAGGCGTGCGTTCATCCTCAACATGGTATATGTTTCTCCAGGTGTTGAGACCGTCTCCTGCAGCCATCCGAACCCACTGAGAATAGAATTCCTTGGGTCTGCCTTGATCAAATAGTTGTCACAGTACTTCCCTACAAGTGTTGATGCACCGGCATAGATGTTGGACATTGATTGGACATGGTGGCATACCCTCTTCTTCCTTTCTTCATAACTATCACTATCATTGTCACTATCCGATGACATCTGCACATACACAAGTAACAACAATTAGTACTTAATTATCAACCAGATTAGTCATAGCAGAAAGATAAGTAAGAATCATATGTAACATTAAAGACAAGTCATATGTAACAACATTTATCATGTAACCATCAGCAAGATGAGTCATAGCAGCAATATAAGTAAGATTACAAGAAATATTACCAAGATTGAAGACACACGGCTGAAACAAGGTAAATGAAGACAAACAACTGAAAAAGGGAAGAATGGGACTAACATAATAATGTTACAACCCAAATAGTCTTACAAGTAAACCTGAGTACATAACTAAGTTCAAACTTTAAATTAGTATTACATCCCAATAGGCAAAAACAACAGCAATAGCATCTAATGCCCATACTTGCTGTTGTATTTCCTACGCAACCAATCTAAACGAGCAGCACTTTCAGTCATATGCAGGAACATCTCTCTCTGCTCTCGCTTCACAAATAGTTCACTAGCAATGAAATATTCATCACTGCCTACTATTGCACCACACTCAACAACCAGATCCATCACAGAAGTAATCGATGAACTCTCTTCTTTCTTCATGTATGACTCAAAGCTGAATTGGGTCCTCTCTGCTATATCTCCAACCCTGGTTATCTGTTCTTGTATAACAAGAGATGTCTTTGGCTTCTTGTTATTGCCATCCACATACCTGCCAAGTCTCTTCCCTTTTCCATCGGCATGTGACTCACCTGTTTGGGTCTCCTCCAGATCAACATCTTGTATGTCGTCCACATTGAAAACTGAAGTTGCACTGCTAGATTGGGGAATGGTGCCTGAAGCAGGATTCCAGTGATCTGTACCATCACTTGTGATGTCAGCAAACATGATAGATAAGTTATTCTCATTTCGAAGTCCGCGCTTTCGGAACTTGCCACAGCCAGGGATGTCCTAAAATACAACAAAACAAAGCTTAATTAGCATCACTACTCACGGAACAATTGCTTATATGATAAGAACAAATAGGAAAAGTCATGACTCACTATCTTTGCTTTCTTCCACCATTCATCATCTTGTTTGATGGTGTTTCTCTCATAGTCCCACCCACCACCAGTCTCCTTCAATTTGAGTTTTCTGAAATTGCTGTAATCAGTCTTCAACTTATCCCACTTGTTCTTTAGTTGGAGCCTGGTGTACTCCAGGCCTGTTCTGACTTTAAAATCCTTCGCAACTTCCTCATAAGCATTTTGAGTCAAGTGCTTGTCTGGCCTATTGCCAGCACGCACTTGTTGGACAAAGAGCTCGGTCAAGATCGTAGTGTTATCGTCACTCCAATCGGCAGACATTCTTCAAGAAAATTATACATTAATTGCAAGCATTACAATCTAACACATATAGATGAACAATCATCAATCATGCTCCTAGTTACATACCAGCAAAGACCATGGTTATAGGCAGAGAAGGGGTTCACTAACATATTTCAGTCCAAAGAATAATAATAGTTACAGGTTATAGGCAGAGAAGGGGTTCACTAGCTACTTCACTCCATCCATATCAATCAGGGCAAATGAAAGAAACAAAGGCAATATTTGGTCATGGTCTAATTACATTCCAACGGCCAGGAGACAATTCAAGATGTATTTCTGCACTACTTTCCTACAACATCCATGGATTGAAAGGGAATTTAATCAACAAGACGTCACGTGGATCTCACTAGTCCTTGCTGGATTACTTTTTCTTACATTTGTAAATCACTAGTATATACTTTCTGTATCTACTTTACGACATCCACTAGTCCTTTCTGTATCTACTTTCACAGCATCAACGACCAGGTGTACACTGTGTGTGGGAGTGATGTGCGTGTGTTTTATTTACAGGGTGTATTATGTACTGAAGAGGCGATTGTGATATGCAGAAAAACGTCTGAATCTCACTTTTTGTCTCGTTCTCTCCGTTCTTCATTCTCTACTATTTCTATGATTAATCCGTGAGACCCAAATCAGGGTCTCACACTACTTTGACTACTAATCCTTGCTGGGATTATTGACATGTAGAACTAATACTAACTGGAATCAAGAATCAGGAATCAAGAACGCCTAGAACTAATCAGCAATATCAATTAACAAGCTAGCTAGTTCACGCCCTCCATGTCAAGGCAAATAAAAGAAACAGAGGCAATACATATATGTTTACAACATCCATGATAATCATGCAGTGTGTATTTGTTATCTAGAAAAGGAAACTCTATCTATCTTTATGCTCTCTGTCGCTCATCCCCTTTCTCTACCAACTCCCCTAATTCATCCCCTTCCTCTCAATTTCCTGAGGTAATCCTTGCAGGAATTATAGACATGTAGTACTACTACTTACAGGAATCAAGAACCAGGAATCAAGAACACGTGGAACTATTCAGGAATATGAATCAAGAACAGTAGAGGAACAAGGGTGAAGAGGGGATATGGATCTCACCTTGCTGTATGTGACGTAGGCGTGGGTGCCGACCTTGCAAACGACGAATCCGAGCTGCCGGGGACGAGGACGAGGCCCTGGTGATCTCAGCCGCCAGAGGTCCACACAACCCGTATGCCCCCAAAGTTATCGCCGAACAGAAAGCTGCCTTGGATGAGGAGGGGGGCGAGGAGATGGCGAGGTTGCAGGGGTGAGAATTTGGCCGGGGATGACGAGGGGGCGAGGAGATGGCGAGGTTGCAGTGGTGGCCGGGGAACTGCGGCGGCGGCGGCGCAACGCTAGGGTTCCATGGTCGGGGGAGGACCCTGGGATTCGCTCAGATTGGATCGAACCGGTAGGTTGGGGAGGGGGAAAGTGAGGGAGTCGTGGTGGAGAGCTCGGTTTCAGCGACTCCGTGAAATTCAACTGCGAACCGCTCCGCTCCGCTCTTTCGACTCCGCGGAGTTGTACCGTTCGGCGCTGCTCCGCCCGCTCCCGGAGCGGAGTTGTGGAGCGGAATGGCTCCGAACAGGTCCTAACTCACCACCATCACTGCCAACTCTAATTTTTATGATAAAGAAAATGTAGACAGTAGAAAGAAGAGAAATTTCTGTGAGATAAGAGGAATGCACACACGACTGCTTATTCATGCCTCATTGTTCTCTCCCTATCAACATCATCTACGATCATCATTTGCCATCATCCACTAATCCCTCGCAACTAATTACCGCAACCACCCAGAAGCGAATGATGAGAAGGATTAAAGGAACACAATACACCCTGCACGCGAGACACGAACCAACCAATCTACTGAACGAGACGCTGTTCAGATTAAAGGACCTCGCTCAGCTCAGATGGAGACGCTGTTGGGGATGCCCATGGCGGTGAGGCCCAGCCCTTTCTCGCCGCCGGCGTCCGACGTGTTGGGGTACAGCAGCATGTAGGGCATCTTCACCGGCCCGTTCCGGTTCTTGAGCGCCGGGTCCTTGTTCATGTCCAGGATGCGCTTCTCGATCTCCATCAGCCGGGTGCCGAACCTCTTGAACGCCTCCAGGGCCTTGGCGTCCGACGTCCACTCCGGCGTGTCGCGCTGCCCGAGGTACACCTCGTCGGAGGAGTGCTTCGACAGGATCTCGATGAGCGTGATGCCGAGGATGGTCTGGAACTGGCTGGTGATGGTGTGGATGAACACCTTGTCGGCCTCCTTCCCGCCCTTCTGCAGCTGCTTGTACTCCTCTTCGCCCTCCTCCGGCATCTTCCGACGGCTCACCGTCGGCCGGTTCGGGAGGTACCCAGCGTACGGGTACTGCCCGAAGTTGACCGCCGCGTGTAGCGCCGATGCCACCCAGATGATGGTGGTGCACGTCTTGGCCAGCTCCTGCACGGTCACCATCTTGGGCCACCAGTCGGCGTCCTTGAGGTCGCCGTGCCCGACCTCGCGCACCTCCTTCCACCACTCCTCCAGCTCCTTGTCGGCCCGGAGCACGCCGTCGTTGGGGTAGTAGATGGCCAGGTACTCGTTCACCCACCGCTCGATCGCCCACCAGATCACCAGCCCGTCCACCGCGTACGGGTAGTCCTTGATCAGCAGCCGGACACCGTATGGGCTCGATGAATCCGGCACAGCCATGCCTCTGCGTGCACAAACAAGCAAAAATCATCTTTAATCAACCATTTCTTCCACATTCCGATCTTGTATCAACCTTCTCTTTTTATTACCTCTTGACGAGATCGTCGGGGAGGCCCTGCTCGGTGAGCTTCCAGTTCTTGTAGACGATGGAAGACATCTCAAGCGCATATTTCTCCGGGAAGACGGTCATCTCAAAGACGCCACCGGCGTTGATGAGAGTGGTTCGCGCCAGGGCATTGATGTTCAACGTGTCGCGGTAATGTGGGCTCAGCAGCTTGTGCACCGGGTGCACCACACTGAGTTGCCGGTTCGTCGCAATCACGAACGGCTCGATCACCGCGTGTGTGTTCAGCCTAAGAAAACAATCAAAAAGCTCAGCTCAGCGCTTTGTTGGTACCAAGGGCTCCTTCTTTAGCCTATAAGGACCTAGAGCTTAAAGCAGGGTTAATGTTGCAATGCATAATTACCAGTGGCTGATAAGCTGATGCCACGCAGAGTCGTCGACGGAGGCGTAAGCCTTGGCAAGCTGCCAGATCTGGCCATCAACACCAGAGTCAATATCAGCCGGAAGGTACACCGTGCTCTTCGCGCCGTGCTGTATTCCGTCAGGGTGTGGCAGGCTCAGCTCGATGGCCAAGGGCTTCAGCGTGCCGTCGGCCTTCTGGAACAGCAGGGTCCTCGAAGCGTAGATGTAGTTGCCTTCCAGCTTGTTGATGCGGTCAAGGAATGGCATGAAGTTATCGTGGTGATCTAGAATGAAGAGCCTGTTTTTCTCCATTGCCTGCACAATACATGGTTGTTAGGACAAAGTGTCAAACTCATTACATTATTCAGTACTTGTTCACTAGCAATTTGCAGCATAAATAGATCACTGAAGTTACATGTATCAGTGCAGCTCAGTGAAATTTTCTTTTTCACCAATAAACAGCTCAATGATTCAACACACCTGTTTCACTGTGAGGCCTTCTTCAAGGTTCTGCTGAATTTGATCTTCAGTGATGGTGCTTGATTGGTCCCCGTACACACTGGGATCCAGGGTACTTTTTACAGGGAACTCCTGTGGTCATCAAATAGAAAACAAATGATGATTAATTCCCAATCGATTATGAGGAGATGGTTTATTCTTTTCTTCTTCTTCTTCTTCTTTATAAATATAAATGGCATAGGTGCTAACCGTCAGACGTTTGATGCAAACCGGGTTCACGCCTGCGAGCATCTCCCGCGCAAACTCCTCGTCTGACCTCCAAGCATAATCGTCTGCCATTTAAGAAAATAAGTTATATAACAAAAATAAAAAAGGGTAAAACAAGGGACGACCGTATTAAGCAAGACATGCACACAGCTGATTACTTGATCTGATAACATGTGGAAGGGGCAGGTTCAGGAGGTCGTCGCCAGCAACTGGTAAAAGACTTTTAATAAACTGAAGGGGGATTTTCTTCTTGAGCTCCTTTAGGTGTTGGTTATCGGGCACTTTCAGAAGACCGTCGTAGAGATCATAGATGTCTTGAAACGAATCAAACTCCTTGGGTGTAGTGTCAACATAGGTCCTAATCACCGGAAGAATGGCCTCGGTGATGGCCTTGAGAGAGTACCCAAGGAAGTCAGACAACTTGAGGTGCCCAAAGCGCTCATCACGCGGGACATAGATGTTGAGGGCCTCCTGTATCTTGTACTGAGGAATTCTGCTCTCTGATCTAGGGTCTGGCGAAAAGATCAAATAACCCATATGAGTCCAATTGCAAGGTGACATGGTTGTGAACATGTGAAAAAAACAAACAAACATATACAGTGCACTGGACTCACCGGTTTTTGTTGGGGGTCGGCCAGTTCTGCAACGACGGGGATAGGGGAGTTCCTGGGTGCCGCCGAGGACCGGGCGCGGATGGCCCTTGTCCGGCTCACCGAGGTCGTTGTAGTAGTCATAGCGGTACACACGGTCCCACTCCTCGTACTTTCCGGTTGTGCCGTCGCCTCGGAGATTGTTGAGTTCATCTTGCCTGTATTGCACCAAAAGTGCAGGCATTTTGCTGGGCAGATAGGTCTGAAAAACAGCGAGGAAATGAGATGACAGATAAGCAAAACGAAACCTGTGAGAAACAGGACTACTCAGTCCGCAAAAAACAGGACTGGTACCAATTAACCTGTGAGAAACAGATACTAATTCAGTTTGTCACTTGTGTGATCTTCTATTATTTCTGAAAACAAGTTCATATTTCTGTCTCCTGATCCTCTGATCATCAGGGCAACAGTTAAAAACAGCTTTTTTCTTCTTGGTAATAAACAATTATAGGAGTAGAAAAGTCGTCAACTTGCTATATATACGATCTAACGATTGGTTGTGGATCTGAGAGATTCGGATAGGCCCGGGGATGGGTGATTCTTGTCCAGAACAACAGCCTATTAAAACAGAGTAGGTAGCAAACTGCTGACACCTGCAACTTGTTGTTTCATAATCGTTCTTATACTGATAACTCGTACGACCAGTCCATTATCTTTGTACAAAAAGCTCTTAAGATGAGTTCAGTCAGTAGGGATGCATGCATCTGCATGGGCGTGCAACTTGCTGTCAAACTATTTTTCATGCCAGGTGAAGCTAGGTGGGATATGATATGGATACCAGTCCCAGGATTCATACTGCTAAGACATTTTCATGTGGCGTTGGGAATTCAGACAAAGGCATTATTTTGACAGCAGCGAAGGGCAGCCGTTGACTTGACCGCAAGACCAAGACCTAGCAACAGCAACTCGACAGCTAATAAGGTGATCTCACCGGATGACAGCACGCAGTAGTAAATTCCTTGTCTGCCGCAGCTCAACATCTACTAGTCCATTTGGCATCTCTTCTTTTTGATTGACTGTTCTTTTGTTCTGTTTTTGACAGCAATTTTGGCTTTTGTTCTTGACAGCTTATCTATCATTAGCATCTATAGTAGGTGGCACAAGTGATAACAAGTAACATGATATACCACCACCTAATCCATGCAGCAGATTTTCTTAATAATGCAAAAGAATCGGCTAAGATCCAATTCCAATTCCAATCCAAGGTCCATGGCCATACTCAGAAAAAGACACAACATTTTTAAAAGAAAATGAAATGCGTGCAACACGGGCGTTATTAATTTTCCTCTGGTGGGTTGATTGATTGATTGATTGATTGATTGTGGCGCCGTCGTTCGTCGGCGGTGGCGGCGGCGAGGGGAAGGAAGGAAGGAAGAGGAGGAAGAGGAAGGGGAAGAAGGAGCTCACGTCGTTGGCGAAGAAGACGCGGTCGACGTTGGGGTAGATCCAGGAGTTGGCGACGAAGACGACGGTGCCCTTGCCGGGGACGCCGTGGAGGGTGAGCGTCTTGAGCAGGTACTCGGAGCGGTAGGTGTTGCGGACGACGACGGCGCCGGGGATCCCCTGCGAGTCGTCCCACTCGAAGGTGACCTTGAACACCGACTCCCCGGCCGCCTTGGACTTCATGGTCACCACCATCTCCTCCAGGTGCGCCGGCTTCCCCACCTTGCCCCGCCTCGGATTCTCTGCAACCGCACGCCGGAATCATCGCCATCAGCATAATCAGAGGAGAATATCAAGAAAAAACATCAATCAATCATTTTGAGGTCTCATTTCTCATCAGAGATGGAGGTGGCGATCTTGGATTTTGGGAGGGGGGACGGCGGACACGTGGTTGGAGTCGGTCGCGGACATAAACTAGTCTCCCCGCTGGCCGCTGTCGTCGGTCGGTCTCGGCCCCGGTCCCTCCGGAGGCCACAGCATTGATGCTAAACCCTGGCGGCCACGCCAATCTAGGAGCATCCATCCATGGGTCCACGACAAGATGAACATGATCAAAAGTTGAAAACTGCTTTTGTTTTCATTTTCCCATCTTTTTTTGAACTGAAACCAACACAGATTGTTTCTGAACTTGATCGACACTTACATGATTCGCAAACAAAAAAAGAGGCTGGAATCGATACAGATTGTTTCTGAAGTAAATCGACACGGGATTCGCGGACAAAAAAAAAAGGACTGAAATCAAGAGAGATTGTTTCAAAAACGCCAAGAGGGGAACTGAAACGTACGAGAGCCAGCGGTTACGCGGCGGCGGCGGCGAGCGAGCGACGGATGCAGGGCAGGGCGAGGGCGGGAGGAAGAGGGAAGGGGAAGGAGGCGAGTGAAAGAAAGTAAAGCTTACGGGGGTCTGGGGCGGTGGCGCTGACGAGGTGGAAGATGACGCCGTCGTCCTTGCCGAGGATGTCGTGGACGCCGTCGAGGAGGGAGGCGTGGAAGTCGCCGAGGTTGAGCACGTCGCTCTTGACCAGCACGGCCGTGCCCCGGATCTTGCCCTCCTTCCACGCCTGCTTGTTCTTCCCCGTCAGCCGGTCCACCAGCCCGTGCAGCAGCATCTCTCCTCTCCGCCCCTCCCCTCTCCTCCCCTCTCTGGTTCTTGAGGAACACAACCGGTGGCTGTCCCTTTGCTGATGCAGTTCGCAGGAGTAGAGTGGCCTGGCCTAGTCTGCGGCCGCTACGCTGGGATTTATAGGCCGGCCGACCCTCGCCGATAATTTTCCACCACCGCAACCACCAACCCAGCAGCGATGTCAGAGTATACTAGTACGGTGCACTTTATATATGGTAATACTTTTATTTACCGCGTGGTAAGTATTTCTCGACGAGATCCCGGCGGTTTCTAAAACGTTTTTTTCCTCTCCGGAGCGCGGCGCCCCACGCGGAGGCGCATGAGGGGTAGAGTACTATATGGGGAGGCGGCTCATCCTTTCTGAAAATTAAAGGGGATAAGTTTGTGATTGGTTAGTAGATGAAAAGAGTTTGTAAACTTATGTATTTGCTTGTATGTTTAGCATTTTTCGTGTCGGAGTGTGTATGTGGGAAGATGGTGATATTTGGATGTAGGAGTACTTATTACCCATAATTTGGCACGCGTTGATGATCCTTACACGGTTCCCGGTGGTGAACAGTGCATGCAAATTGGTCAGGTACCATCCGCCCTGCTTCTCCTCCATCTCCGTTCGACCCCTATCCTGCGACCGCCCCGCCAGGTACCATCCGCTACTGCCATTCTCACCATGCCCGGCAACTGTTCGATGAATCGCCAGAGCTAAAAACGGTTGTCCCTTCTTCTTTCTGGCAATGGATTCTGATTTGGAGTACATATACGAGCAGTGTGTTGAGTTGTCTGACGGCTCGTCTGGCGAGGAGGAGTACTCCGATGAGACGACAATGATGCAAGCGGCCCATGAAGACGTGAAGCGTGCAAAAGAGTATATTCTCGATTTCAAGGGCTCGATTAAGGGTCATCGAGTGCTCAATCGCAACAGGGCGCGTGGCCATTTGACACTGGTCGTCGACTACTTTGCCCCCGATGCACTATTCGCTGACCATTTTCGCCGGCGTTTTCGGATGCGTAAGACTGTGTTCGATCGTTTGTACCATGGCGTTCAGTCCTACGATGACTACTTCACCCTGAAGAAGGACGCCGTGGGAACGATTTGCTTCTCTGGTTACCAGAAGTGCATGGCTGCATTCCGGTTGCTTGCATAGGTGACGACCGTTGATTCGTGGGACGAGTACCTACAGATGACTAAGAGCACGTGCAAAGATGCCATGGTTAGGTTTGTAACCATCGTGGTCGAGGTGTTCGGACCTCAGTACCTGAGAGAACCAACTGTTGTGGCAGACACCAAGAGACTCTTGGCAATCTTAGAAGCAAGAGGGTGGCCGAGTTTGCTTGGATCTCTTGACTGCATGCATTGGAAATGGAAGAACTACCCGAAGGCTTTACAAGGGCAATACCAAGGTCATGTTAAGAAGTTCACCATCATTCTTGAAGCAGTTGCATCACATGATTTTTGAATTTTGCACGCTTTCTTTGGTACGATCGGGTTTCATAATGACATAAATGTGCTACAACGATCATCATTATTTGCGAGGCTGACTGAAGGAAAAGCTCCTCCTTGCCACTATATTGTCAATGAACATGAGTACAACATGGGCTACTATTTGGTTGACGGTATATGTCCATGGGCTACATTTGAGCACCATCTCAAACCAGAAAAAGGTTCACTTTGCCCAAAGACAAGAAGCAGCTAGAAAGGATGTGGAGAGGGCATTTGTGTTGGGGAACGTAGCATAAATTCAAAATTTTCCTACGTGTCACCAAAATCTATCTATGGAGTCATCTAGCAACGAGGGAGGAGTGGATCTACATACCCTTGTAGATCGCGCGCGGAAGCATTCAAGAGAACGGGGTTGATGGAGTCGTACTCGTCGTGATCCAAATCACCGATGATCCTAGCACCGAATGGACGGCACCTCCGCGTTCAACACACGTACGGAGCAGCGACGTCTCCTCCTTCTTGATCCAGCAAGGGGGAGGAGAGGTTGATGGAGATCCAGCAGCACGACGGCGTGGTGGTGGAAGTAGCGGGATTCCAACAGGGCTTCGCCAAGCGCTGCGGGAGGAGGGAGATGTGTCATGGGAGGGAGAGGGAGGCGCCAGGGCTTGGGTATGGTTGCCCTCCCTTCCCCCCACTATATATAGGGCCAAGGGAGAGGGGGAGGGCGCAGCCTTGCCCCTTCCTCCAAGGAAGGGTGCGGCCAAGGGGGGAGGAGTCCATCCTCCCCAAGGCACCTCGGAGGTGCCTTCCCCCTTTAGGACTCTCCCCTTCTCTTGTCCCTTTGGCGCATGGGCCTCTAGGGGCTGGTGCCCTTGGCCCATGTAGGCCAATGCGCACCCCCTACAGCCCATGTGGTCCCCCGGGGCAGGTGGCCTCACCCGGTGGACCCCCGGGACCCATCCGGTGGTCCCGGTACAATACCGGTGACCCCGAAACTTGTCCCGATAGCCGAAATAGCACTTCCTATATATAATTCTTTACCTCCGGACCATTCCGGAACTCCTCGTGACATCCGGGATCTTATTCGGGACTCCGAACAACTTTCGGGTTACCGCATACTTATATCTCTATAACCCTAGCGTCACCGAACCTTAAGTGTGTAGACCCTACGGGTTCGGGAGACATGCAGACATGACCGAGATGACTCTCCGGTCAATAACCAACAGTGGGATCTGGATACCCATGTTGGCTCCCACATGTTCCACGATGATCACTTTGGATGAACCACGATGTCAAGGACTTAATCAACCCCGTATACAATTCCCTTTGTCTAGCGGTACGATACTTGCCCGAGATTTGATCGTCGGTATCCTGATACCTTGTTCAATCTCGTTACCGGCAAGTCTCTTTACTCGTTTCGTAACACATCATCCCGTGATCAACTCCTTGATCACATCATGCACATTATGATGATGTCCTACCGAGTGGGCCCAGAGACACCTCTCCGTCACATGGAGTGACAAATCCCAGTCTCGATTCGTGCCAACCCAACAGACACTTTCAGAGATACCCGTAGTGTACCTTTATAGTCACCCAGTTACATTGTGATGTTTGGCACACCCAAAGCACTCCTACGGTATCCGGAAGTTGCACAATCCCATGGTCTAAGGAAATGATACTTGACATTAGAAAAGCTTTAGCGAACGAACTATACGATCTTTGTGCTAGGCTTAGGATTGGGTCTTGTCCATCACATCATTCTCCTAATGACGTGATCCCGTTATCAATGACATCCAATGTCCATGGTCAGGAAACCGTAACCATCTATTGATCAACGAGCCAGTCAACTAGAGGCTTACTAGGGACATGGTGTTGTCTATGTATCCACACATGTATCTGAGTTTCCTATCAATACAATTATAGTATGGATAATAAACGATTATCATGAACAAGGAAATATAATAATAATCAATTTATTATTGCCTCTAGGGCATATTTCCAACAGTCTCCCATTTGCACTAGAGTCAATAATCTAGTTCACATCGATATGTGATTAACACTCAAGGTCACATCCCCATGTGACTAACACCCAAAGAGTTTACTAGAGTCAATAATCTAGTTCACATTTACCATGTGATTAACACTCGATGAGTTCTGGGTTTGATCATGTTATGCTTGTGAGAGAGGTTATAGTCAACGGGTCTGAACCTTTCATATCCGTATGTACTTCGCAAATCTCTATGTCATCTCCTAGATGCAGCTACTACGCTACATTTGGAGCTATTACAAATAACTGTTCTACTATACGAATCCAGATTACTACTCAGAATAATCTAGATTAGTGTCAAAGTTTGCATCGGCGTAACCCTTTACGACGAACTCTTTTACCACCTCCATAATCGAGAAAATTCCTTAGTCCACTAGTTACTAAGGATAACTTTGACCGCTGTCCTGTGATCCATTCTTGGATCACTCTTGTACCCCTTGACTGACTCATGGTAAGGCACACTTCAGGTGCGGTACACAGCATAGCATACTGTAGAGCCTACGTCTAAAGCATAGGGGACGACCTTCGTCCTTCCTCTTTCTTCTGCCGTGGTCGAGCTTTAAGTCTTAACTTCATACCTTACAACTCAGGCAAGAACTCCTTCTTTGACTGATTCATCTTGAACACCTTCAAGATCATGTCAAGGTATGTGCTCATTTGAAAGTACCATTAAGCGTTTTGATCTATCCTTATAGATCTTGATGTTCAATGTTCAAGTAGCTTAATCCAGGCTTTCCATTGAAAAACACTTTCCAAATAACACTATATGCTTTCTAGAAATTCTACATCATTTCTGATCCATAATATGTCAACAACATATTCTCATCAGAAATTCTATAGTGCTCCCACTCACTTTTTTGCAAATACAAGTTTCTCATAAACTTTGTATACACCCAAAATCTTTGATCATCTTATCAAAGCATACATTCCAACTCCGAGATGCTTACTCCAGTCCTTAGAAGGATTGCTGGAGCTTTGCATACTTATTAGCATCTTTTAGGATTGACAAAACCTTCCGGTTGTATCACATACAACCTTTCCTCAAGAAAATCGTCGAGGAAACAATGTTTTGACATCCTATCTGCAAGATTTCATAAATAATGCAGTAATCGCTAATATAATTCCAACAGACTCTTAGCATCGCTACGAGTGAGAAAGTCTCATCGTAGTCAACTCCTTGAACTTGTCGGAAAACATCTTAACGACAAGTCGAGCTTTCTTAATGGTGATACTTACCATCATTGTCTGTCTTCCTTTTAAAATCCATATGTACCTAATAGCCTTACGACCATCAAGTAGTTCTCCAAAAGTCTACACTTTGTTTTCATATATGGATCCTCTCTCGGATTATATGGCCTCGAGCCATTTTGGAATCCAGGCCCACCATCGCTTCTCCATAGCTCGTAGGTTCATTGTTGTCTAGCAACATGACTTCCAAGACAGGATTACGTACCACTCTTAAGTAGTACGCATCCTTGTCATCCCACGAGGTTTGGTAGTG